CTTAGGGTTTGAAAATTATGAAGCAAAAAAAATTGGTACAATTTGTATAAATTATTTCACAAAAACATATTTTCAATTACATATTTTGAACATCATCTAATATTATGTTTTTAACGAAAAGAAAGCACGCGTATTTTGGTAAAACAAAATTTCTGGTCAAAATATTTAATTATGATTTTTAAAAATAATTCATAAAGACATTTTTTTTTCCTAAAGAAAACTCTCGTTTCTGTATGGGTTTTGAATTGTATGCGAATTTTTGTTTTGAACAATTCTGGTCCCAAATAAAAGATGAAAAGTATTAAAGATTTCAAATATTTTATGAATATTTTTACTACGCAGATGTGAGACTTATACTATGTGAGATATTTAATAAAAATAGTAGTAAAACATTTAGAATCTCTAACTTTACACATAAAAGATATGATACCATAAAAATTAAAACAGTAAAAACAAAAAAAAATTAATTTTGACGGAGATTCCCAAGTGCTGAGATTCCTTTGACAAAAACAAAAAAACAAAAAATTAATTTTGTACTTAATTTTGACGGAGATTCCTAAGGCCTCGTTTGCTTTGAAAGATAAAAGTGAAATTGAGATTGAGATAGAGGTGGGACCCATTATATGTTATGTTTCTTTTGGGAGATAAAGATTTTGGGAGATAAAGAGGAGATTCATAATCTCATGGGATTAAGATGGGCCTTGGGCCCCGTTTGTTTTGGGGTGTAATGGATGGGAAGGGATTAGGATGGAGGAAGGGATATAGATAGAGATTAGAAGGGGGATTAGAATGGAAGAGGTGGATGTGGTATTAGAAAAATAGTGAGGGGATTAGAAATTTTTTTATTTTTTATATATTGGGAATTTTTTTTAAATATTAATGTTTAATTTTTTATATTTTTTTATTTGTTTTATTATTTTATATAAAAATAACTTAACAATTCCAACACTAACAACTATCACCAAAACAAATACAATTTTACTTAATCCGTTCACTAACAATCCTCTCACTATTAATTCTCTCACTATGAATTTCTTCCATTCTACCTCTGAAAACAAACGGGCCCTTGGTGTTGGAATTGAGATAGAACAGATGGAAATGGTATTAGGAAATTAATCCTATGAGATTATGTGTTTTTTTTTTTTTTTTTTATTTACATGTTGGGTATTTTTTTAATATTAATGTTTAATGTTGTTGTATTTTTTTGTTATGTAAAAATCATAATTTTATTTGTTGGATAAAGCTTAAGACCTCCAGTAGGGGTACTGGGGGTCACTCCTGATTGGCCAAAAAAAATAGGTTTTTTTTTTTTTTTTGGGGTTACAGTCACTGGCAGAGTGCCATGTGACACTGGGGGTCACTGGGGGTGCCCCAGCTGGGGGTTGGAATCACGGCCGTTATTTGTTTTAATATGTGATATTTTTTTTATAGGGTAATAATTTAAAATCCCCACATTAACAACTACCATTAAAACAAATATAATTTTACTTAATCCCCTTACTATTAATCATTTCCATTCTACATCTAAAAATATACTGAGCCAATTTTAGGTATAATAGTTTTTTTTTTTTTTTTCAAAGTACAACGGAAATAATAAGTGCAAATAGTCAAAAGTGTGAATTATCACGCCTCATTTCTTTTGTGTACAAGGCCATGTATCTAATAAGAGTATCAGCATCAAACTCGTTAAAATTATTTTTTTAGTTAAATTAGTGATATTGTTCATCAAAAATAGATTGCATCAGTCTTGTTATTATTCATCACTACAACATGGAGATTAGTGTTACTAGATGTCCGCTTGAAAGTCCGACCGAACATCCGGCCGGTCAATCGGTCAACGGCCATTTTTTTTTCTTCATTTTTTAAGACTTATTTGGTTGGTAACTCATCAATTTAATAAAAAAGAAAGAATAATAAACATAATAAGAAAATAATATTTTAATAAATTTAAGTTAAAATAAAAAGTTTGATGCAATAAGTACTAAAAAGATGACTAGTTAAAATAGTAAAATTGCTTTTTTAGCTATAATTTGTCTAAAAAATCAAAGAAGCTGATGCGGATGCTCTAATTTAACTATAAAAATAAAAAATAAAAAAAGGAAAAATGTAATGGGTCCCAAATTTTCTACCAAATAAATAATAAAATGGCTCACATGGGTATGGGATCCACAAAATGGTAGACCCCACACTTATGTGAGATATTTGGTCATTTATTTGGTAGAAAATTTTATATCCCTACGTCAAGCTGCATTTGCTGCAGATTTTTGGTCGAAAAAAAAGGATAAAAATGTAAATTTCACATTACTAACTATTATTTCAACAATGATACATCCCTCTAAAACTAGAGTGCTAATTGAGTTATAGTGGGGTGAAAAAAAAAAAAAACGCACACGCACACACACACAAGGCCAAAACAGCACATCAAATGCGCCACACACACACATTAGAGCTATTAGAACTCACAAATTAGAGCTCCAAAATATTTTTGCTATTATTTTATATTGCATTTCTCTTTTATAAAAATCAGAAAATTATTCCAAACATAAATATTCCTTCTGTCCCAAAATAATAGTCCTTTTTGGAGAACCTAACTTTTTTTGATAGTATAATTATTGCACTTTAAAATAATTGATTTTTTAAAAGAAAAATGATTGGTAGCTCGAATTTGTGTAGCCCGAATGACTCGAATGTATCAAAACGACATCGTTTTGAGACATTCGTTTTGAGACATTCAAGCCATTTGGGTCATGAAAATTCGAGCTACCATGCATTGTTGTTTTTAAAATTATCCTTTGATAGTACATTTTTTGGAAAATATTAATTGTCATAATTGTACTTTTGTGTTGTTAATAAATTTAAAAAATGACAAAATAGAAAATTAATATTATTTTAGTCCTTGATTTTTGAAAAGAAATTAATATTTTGGGATAATGAAAAATAGAATAAGGGACTAATATTTTAGGATGGAAGAGTATATATATTTTTTATCTACTTTTTTTAATAAAAAAAATTAAAAAAAAAATATACTATGCTAAATAATCCCTTACTTTTCAAAACAGTGGTATAAAAATGATAGGAGAGGAATCTCTTCCAATGCAGATTTTAAATTGGAGGATGCTGTTGGATCGGTGGGGCCCATTACATACCCTATTTTGATAATTTGAACTATTCATTTTATCGAGCACTTCATGTATTTCGTTCACAGAAAAATTAAGTCAATTCGATAACTGTAACTTATTCAATTTTTCACTAAAGAAACACACAATGTGTTTTAAAAAATAAATCATACATTTTTATAGTAACAAACACAATAAATTGAACAAGTTACAGTTATCAGATCGATCTTATTTTTTTTTGTAAACGAAATACACGAAATGCCGAAAATAAATGGTTCGAATCATCAAAATGAAACCCGTAATAAACTCCACAAACCCAAGCGACGCTTTCCAGTTCAAAATCTGAAGTAGCGGGGATGATCCTCCAAAAGGTTGATACACCTGCAGGCAAACACCTCTTCAGCATCCCAAAATAAAATGAAAAAAAATAAAAATAAAGAACAGATACATGAATTTGGATCTTTTATCCCAACTATATGTAAGGAGTAATTATATTTCCACACACTAAATCCTCTTAGGACACATACTTAATGAATTTCTTCAAAATCACATTTTTATCCTTTAATTAAATTATCATTTAGGACAAATCTTTATCTTTTTCTACTTTCCCAGTACACATCGGAACATATAGGGTTTGGTTGGATATCAACCTTCGAACGGATCTAGGTTTACAATTGTTGGGTTCACGATAATAAAAAGATTTGTAGAGGTTGGGATAGTGGCGAAGAAGGTCGTAGATGTTAGAGTTCTGAAGAAATGGTAGGCATAAAGGGTATATTATGGTGGTTTAGGCTAAAGCGGAGATGAGCTAAGAGTAGCGGTGACAATGGAGGGCTAAGAGTGGTGGTGGTGATGGCAACGGCAACGGTAACGGCAACGGTAGCGGCGACATTCCAAGTTTTCCAGAAGACAAAAGAATAGGTGGATAAAAAATAAATTAGGATTTTGAAAATAAAAGATAAGGGCATTGTTAAAATGAAGAGATGTGTACTGAGAATATTTTTATTTTTGATGTGTGCTCTGAGAAAGTATTCATTAAATATGTGTTTTGAGAGAATTTCGTGTATGGAAATAGAATTATCCCTATGTAGCTTTACGTATTGGGTGAAAGTCTGTTGCATCCTTATATCCTATTTTAATTTTTAGAGATAATTTCAAAAAAAAAAAAAAAAAAACCTTAGAATTTGAAACTTATAATAAAATAAATTTTTAACTTTTAATTTTGCCAATTTAAACTTCAAAATTTTGATTTGATCCCAATCTAAACTATTCACATATTTTTATTAAGTAAATCAAAAGAAAAAAAAATATTTTAGTTATTAAACTCAATATAACTATATATAAAATGTCTAAAATATCATTTTTTTTTATTGAGTTTAATGAGTAAAATGTTTTTTTTATTTATTTTACTTAACGAAAATAAACAATAACTTAGATTAAAAATAAATAAAAAATTTAGAATATAAATTGACAAAATTAAAAACTAAGGGTTTAATTTGTTAAAGGGGTCAAATATTAGGGTTATTTTTGTAATTTCCTATAACTTTTATATTCAATAATTTTTTAATTTGAATGTCATGGTTATAATAATAGTTGTTCATCTCCTCAAAAAAGTTTTCCCACAATTTTTACAAGTCTTCATTTTCCAAGCCACTTCAACTTACATAAATTCAACACCAAACCTCTTTCTCTCAATATCTCTCCCATTCATTCATTCAATCAATCACTCTCTCCCAAAAATGGAACACTTGAGACCTTTTGTGATCACTAACCGTTCAGCAACAGAACTAGAAGACATCAGGCTCTTTGGTAGGATGGAAGTCTACGCCGTTGTCTCCATCTCCGGTGGCCCTCCAACGGGCTATAACACGGAGTTCACAACCCATGTCGATATGGATGGAAGGAAACAAAAATCCCAGATGGAACACTGTCATGGATTTCGGACTCCATGACCCATCTCTCCGAAACAACCTCCTCTATCTCAATTTCAACTTCCATTGCCGTCGAACCTTGGGTGACAAATTCATCGGCCGAGTCAGTGTCCCCATCAATCCCCTCCTCGCCATGACATCTGGAAATAGTACCGCTTCTCAGGTGGTCCAGTATCCAGTTATGACGTCTTCTGGGGAGTTGCGTGGCATTGTAAACTTCTGCTTCGGATTTGGGAACTCAATTCGTCCATTGGGACCACAACAACCGGCTCCGCAGTGGCGGCCACCACGACCACCACATGTAGTGCTAGAGGCCAAACAACCGGCTCCGCAATGGCAGCCAACACGACCACCACATGTAGTGCTGGAGGCCAAACAACCGGCTCCGCAGTGGCAGCCAACACGACCACCACATGTAGCGATGGAGGCCCAACTTGAACGTCACTGGGGGCAGAGTTATTATACAAGTGAGCCACAGACACTGCAAAACCAAGTCAATTATGGTAGTAATGCTCAGGCCAATGATGATCAAGCCAATCAGTATGATTATGGTGATCAGGCCAATGAGTTTGATAATGATGATTAGGCCAATCAGTATGATTATGGTGATCAAGCCAATGAGTTTGATGATGTGAGTGACTACTAATGCTGATTAGTTATCAAGATTATGGGTTTTCTTGTGGTATGGTGGGGTGGTGCTGGCTAACCATTCATAACAAGTATTTTCGATTAAGTTTGTTTTTGCTTTTTGAAAGATTTACTATAGTATGTCACTACCAATGTGGCTTGTGTTATATATATCTAGCTTAGGAAAAATATATATAAAATATTGTAAAAGTGACATAGAAGTGATAGGATTCGTTTGGAAGTTAAGTTTGGGGTTTTTTTTCATTATTATAGTAAAAAAAAAATAAAATAGACTTTTTAGTCCAATAAAATAAAATATTATATCAAATCTATAATCATTATATTCTTTTTTTCACAAAAAAGTCAAAAAAAACCAAAAGTCTTTTCCAAACGAAACTTTTTAATTCCATGCTAAAATAGTCAAAAAAATCAAAAAGTCAACCCACTTTCCAAACGAACCCAATGGTTTTGTAATTGAAAATAATGTGGATAGTTGTTTTGTTTTAAGTGATAGACTCCTAATTGAAAAGGTGCCTAACATATCTGATTTAGGGATTGTTTGGGATGACCTAAATAAGTGTACTTTTTGTGTTTTTACGAAAAGATGTGTAGAAAAGTAGAGAGATGATGTGATGAAAAAAAGATAAAAAGATAAAAAATGTGTACTTATTTTGAATTGCCAAACTTAACCTTAGTCATCTTTGTAATTTGCCTCCGGGCGTTTCCTATCTAAAAAAAAAACAAAAGAAGTGATAGACTCCTCACCAGTTCACAAATTTAGATTACACCGTCAAATTGGTCCCATTTTTGTGTACAAATTTAATGATATGAGTCGTTCAAATTTTAAAGATAGTTGAGTAAATTATTTATATAAAAAATTAAGGTGATTAAATAACAGTAATTGTACATTCCGATAAATTTTGTTTACAAAAAATGAACGATATTTATAAATTTAAGTATAATCATTCATTTTTTTAATACAAAATTAATTCAAATATATAATTACCATTATCCGATTAATTTGAAAAAAATGCTCCAATAACTTTTCTTCAAATTTAACTAAACCTTCATTTTGTCAAAAAATCGAATGCTCCCTTCCACACTTAAACAATTTCTCAAAAAAAAAAAATTAAAAATCTAAGTTTCTAATAACTTCTTTTCATCAAATTTGGTTAAAATTTATTTTTGCCTACATTTAATAAAAAAAATTAATTTTATACAAGTTTAATAAAATGATTGGGCATTATTTTGACTAAATTTTTTTCATTAAATTTAAATTTAATAAAAAAAATAATGAATTGAAAGCTATGACAAAAAAAATCTTTTGTTTTAAATAAAGAGTCAATGAAATGTAGTTATAACCAGTACATAACCATTGGACTTGACTTAGCGTTCGTAAAAATGGATAACGAGATTGGGCCTTTTATTGGATTTTGGGAGGTTGGGCCTAAATGAAAAATTGGAATGATCCTAGTCTAAAAGTGTTCGGACTTCCCGGTCACGTTGACTAAATCGGCAGACACAGTGACAACACCTGTTAGCGTTCAAGCTGGACTCCCGTTCTTGCCGATTCGCGTCTTGTACATGTCAGATACGTGTCCCCAAAATCAACCAAAAAAACATTTATCAAGAAATTACTTTTTTTATAATTAAAAAATTAATAATTGTTATTTAAATTAGATTTTTAATAAAATTTAATACTATAATTATATCAAATTGTAAGACTTCATATATTTTTCAACAAAAATTCAAAGGAGATATTATTTTAAAAAATGTGATGGAAAATGATAAATGATAATAAAATTTAGAGTCAATTATAGGTTGGTTTAGGAGTAGACTATTTAAATAATTTTTTTAACTTTTTATAAAAAAAAATTATACAAAAAAATAGAGAGATAATATCACCCAAATAAGATAAAAGGCAAATAAGTAGTTTTTTTAGGTTCTTACTTCTAGAAATTACAAATAATTTCTTGTCAAAATTTTTTATTTTATAAAATTAATTATAAAAAAAATTCTAACTAATCTTTCATATAACAATAAATTACTTAAATTCTTAATTAAAATATATTTATGATATCATTAAAACTGATACTAATTGATTTCATTATTTATTAATGAAAATATTCATTTATTATATGATTAGAAATTAAAAGAATGAAATTTAATTTTTTAAATTATGAAAATAACTCGTATTTTAAAAGTGGAGGATGTAATTTTTTCATAAAATCAACTTTCAAAAATAGCAAAAAAAATATGGGAAAAATTTTTTTGATAAAAAAACATCGGCACAAGCACGAAAAAGATGATGCAATGGAAATGAACTAATAGAGGACAAAAACAGAATTATATGTAATTCATAATAGTTGTTAATTAGAAAATATCTCAACATCATCATCATCATCATCATATTGTATCAAATCATGCTTTGATACAATGTCAATGGTACTCACTATCACTGCATTCCAATTTTCAAGTCTTATCCCCCAAACTATAACAAAAGAACAAAACTCAAAATTCTAATCAACATAACACAAAGTTTCTAAGAAAATTCCCAAATTTCTTTCTTCCTTCCTTCCTTCCATGGTTCTAGGGCCTCATGTCATTTCCTTCTCTCTTTCTTATATATCTCATCGCGTTTGTTCATATATATATGGATTATTCATGGTTATTTCCAAGTGTATGGATTTTGTTCATATTATTTTTTTAATCATTCTATTGGGCATATTTTCTTGGAAGTTAAAATAAATTATAGGCAGACTATTTAGTATTGAAAAGATTCAGACTCCTAAAAAAGTTGTTCTAATTTAATCATAGTGAAATGATAGATTATCTCACAATTTTTCAATTTGTTACAATTCAACCATCCCCACTTTTGTGGTTGATCCTCTCCTTTTTGAGACTCCTTTTTGTGTTATTTTCCAATTTACAGAATGTATAAAATGAACACTAGAAGATGGTAAATTTTGACCCTGGGGTGGGAAATTTGCATATGGCATGTGAGGATTATGGTTGAAAAATTCATATCTAATTCTTGAAGAACTATGTTTTCCCCTTTATTCTTTTCTTATTTTTTAATGTTATTTTTGATATGTCGACAGAAGGAATAATATAATTGTGTCCAAAATTTTGTTGTTGTAATGAAAATTTTTGTTATTTTTATTTGTTTGTTGCTGCATGAAATTTTTTTTTTTTCTATGTTGTAATTATTTTATAATTATCCCACTGAATTATAATTTTCACAATTATTAATTGCTCTAATTTTAAATTCCCACGTAATGGAAAGCCCAAACCACAGTCAAAGCCTCTCAAAAAATAATTCAACTAGTTACCAAACAATAGAAAAAAGAGATTGATGTTTAATTATTAATTGGACAAATCTATATTGTAGTTAATAAATTATTTATTGAAAATGATATGAAAGATAAATTTGATTATATAAAGCCTACTTAGTAATTTTGTTGTAAAAATGTAAGAAAAGTAATTTTTAAGTGATATTTTGTTGTAATTAGATTAATTTGGATTGATTTATGGCTTTACTTTTTGTTTGGTATTTTTTCCCCTTGTTGTATATTGAGTCTTGCTAAGACATGAAATAACAAAATCAAATTATTTTATTTTATTTTTATCTTTTTGAGTTCTTATAATGATTTGCCAAGATCTTAATCTATGTAAGCAAATTTTTGTAATCATATTCAAACAATCTCTGTGTGGGTACTAATAAATAAATAATTGTGGGTAATTCCTATTACATTGGCTTAGCACCCGTAAATGTTCAAAATAGGTCCTGTATGAATAATCCAATTTTTTTATTTTATTTTATTGATGACATTATAGTCAAGAAGATTAAAATTTGCAAAGCTAAAAGGGTTGGATTGTGCATCACCCCAAGCATAAA